TCCTCAGCCTATAAAATTACTTTACATACTTATCTATATATTGATTTTGATCTCAACTGCCTTATAAAAGCAGTAGGATAGGTATAATTTTCTCTATTCAATGGCTTAGTGAACAGAGGCTTGGTGATTGGAAGTGATTTGTTCTAGGAAGATCAGCAGGCTAAGGCCAAGATTAGATTTGATTCCTCCTTCTCTCTTCCTCTTCTTTTTTTTTTTTTTAAGATTTTATTTATTTGACAGACAGAGATCACAAGCAGGCAGAGGCAGGCAGAGGTGGAGGGGAAGCAGGCTCCCCACTGAGCGGAGAGTCCTACACGGGGCTTGATCCCAGGATGCTGGGATCATGACCTGAGCCTAAGGCAGATGCTTTAACCCACTGAGCCACCCAGGCATCCCTCTCTTCCTCTTTTGTATGACCCAGCAGGTCATACTTATCTCAAAAAGCCACGAAAAGTGAAAGGGCTTCCTGCACTGTCCAATGAGAAACGAAAGGTGTTATTTCCTTATAGGCAGGCTGGGAGGGATATTTTTTAACTCATCCGCGACAGATCTTATAATGCTATATAGGCTCCATCAGATAGGGCTGCTTCTAGAGAATAAATGAGAATATGTATATAAAGAGGTCTTGCAAACCAAAAAGTGATATGCAAATGTGGGAAAATGGCTCCGTGGAGCCTGAAATATGCTCTCACTCTCTGTATGAGAAGGCTTGCATCTGGGGCTGGATGACACTCTCCTAATGTCAGCAGGAACCTTATGAGGCACAGCTCACAAAAGCCCTGGGGAAATATTTAGCTTTTCCATCTTCCTGTGGTATGTGGAAAACAGATCTCAATGAGGGGGGGAGGGAACACCCCCAAATCCTTTTCAAATTGACTCCTGCAATTTCCTCTCTTATGACAGCTATCATTATAACTCATTGTTCTATAGTTTTAAGAAAATCTCATCTTCAGTGATTATGTAGTTTATTTTTTAAGATGCTAATTTTAGCTATCATTTTCCCTTCATGCTCAAAAGGTTGTATCATTCTTAGTTGTGGAAGGAAATATTTTGTGCAAGTGTGTGTGTGTGTGTGTGTATGTGCCTGTGTTTGAGTTTGTTATGACAGTGCTAATATTCATCCCCATGAGCCCACCACAATGCAGTGGGTTGCCATGCTACACCGTCTTTGGCAGACTTCTGTATATTCTTAGTGCCCGGCTATAAGCATCTTGAAGAAGTCACTTAATCAATTACCGTATTAAAAATGGAGAAACTGAAGCCCAGAAAGATGACATGATGTGCACAAGGCCACAAGGCCAGCAATCATTAAAGCTGTCAGTCAAACACACATTCCTACTCTTTCACTGCCCATGATGCATAGTGAATAGTGCCGGGATCCCTCAGCAGAAGCAGGAGCTGTGTCATTTGGGGGATTGGACCCAGATGTCCTTTAAGATTCCTTTCAATGAAACATGTTACAGCACTTTGGCCTTTTCTTAGCATTTGATGGAAATATTATACCCTGTAGAGAGTAGGGGAGTTTTCTAGAGAAGACGCTTTCCTTATTAGCTTGGTTCTTGCGCAATATTTGTTTCAGCCAAATTCCGGAACTTCTTCTTACATGTAGGGTTAGGAGACGTGCAAGCAATGGCAGCATCTTCATTTTGTTCAACCAATCTACATCTTTGTATCTTTTAGATATGAGAGGTATCACCCGGTTTAACTGGTTGTCATGCTGATTGATCTTGAATTCAGAATTATGGAGTTCAATGGCAGGGTTGAGGTGTAGCGTTCCTTTAATCCAGGGGCTGCAGGTAGTGGCCACAGATGAGTCCAGCATTCAGATTTGTTTTGTTGGTGGTGCAGTGGTAAACCAAACTGAACCGGTTGCAAGTATCTAACATCCAGGGAATTTCTTGTAAAAGTTCAGATATATCATTTTTAAGGAAGATCAGAAGATCTGGATATAGTGGGTACAAATACCCACATGGAAAACATAACATATCTGGGCAGCATATGCTTCTTGTAGACAGACCATGCATTCCTCAGTCATTCACATGCCTGTGGGACCTGATTTCGGCTACCATGTATTTTCATTTGTCAGTGCTAGTCTCTTCTAATCTGTCATGGGCTCAAATCATTCTGTGTCAGGGGAAACCTAGTTCCACACAGTGATAGGCCAGGCCACAGATCAATGTCACCAGGGAGGAGGTGAAATTAATTCTTTAGTCCTAACCTCTTATTATTTGCGAGGTAGGAAGAGAAATGATGACTTAGCAGGACATGCCATTGGCCCTGATACCAACCCAGTATATTAAACCAAATGTCAAAGCTCAGTGACTAGGAAGCTTAAGTATTCAGCTACTGACACGGTTGCAGCACAATCTCTGGGTGCCCACAAGAGAAAAAATGAAAAGCACAGGGTAATACTCTCTACTCAATAGATCAATGTCACAAAAATAAGAAAAGAAATTATGATGTGTGATTGCACATAGAATACAACACAATGCTCCACATTCCCAAAGAATACAGAACAAATTGCTGAAATTCTGGACACGAGCCCAATAATACATTTTCTGTAATCCATTCACTAATAAAATAATCATTTCTTGATCACTTACAGTGTGCATCATCCTAAGTTGGGGGATTTAGGGATGAAGAGCAAAGACACTTTCCCAAAGGGGCTTACACAAATAACCACAATACAGGATAAAAAATAATAAATGCTACAACAAGAAGAAAGCCAATGTTGTTGGTTTTTCTGAGTAAAGAGATATTCATGGAAACTATGTAGGTTGTCACCAGGATGGCTGTAAGGAAGAAATGGTATTTGACTTGGGCTTTGTACAGATAGAGGTAGGAAGAGTTTCTAGCAAAAGAAGAATTTAAATAAACTCATTCAGTGCTATCTGAAGTGTACTTGAGAGAGAGAGTATTCGTTGTGGGTGCATATAGGGCCAGTGGGATGGAGGGAGATTGAAGCTAGAAAGGTGGGTCTGTACCAGATCTCGGGTGCTGAGTGACAAGCTAAGGGCTTCAGAGGAGGCACAACGTGGTGGATTCAAGGAACATTAAAACTATTGACCGGACATTTAATCCAAGTTCATGGCTACCCAAGTCCATACCTTGGCAGTGACAGAACATCCATGTAGGTACCACTAAGTTTAGCTTTAGGTTTTCCGAAAAAAATTAAGAGGAAAAAAACAGAACCGAACACTTCTAAACATGGTAGACAGTATCAGCTGCTTAGGGACCGAGGCAAAGTGGTAATATACAGAAGAATTACAAAGATGGATTAAAATATTTTTTAAAATATGTTGAGAACTTGTAAGGGATACTTGGTGGGAGGAAAAGGTTAAGATTTATTTATTTATTTTTTTTTTTAGAGCAAGTTTATTCTTCTGGGTTATCTGAAAGTTGTAAAAGTGATGTGCATAAGTTCTTGTGAGATATAGAGTGTTATTTTTAGCTGATAAGCTTTTTCCTTTGGTCTGGAAAGCAGTCACCCCCACCAAAGGAATAGTTATGAAGGTTCTTGGATGTCCTAGTCCTCAGCTCTTTCCTTAAAACACTGCTGGAGAATTCCGCAAATATTTGAAGGCTTCACTGTGGTTTATAGCATTCCTGATGGACCGAAGGGAAGGTTCTGGTCTTGTGAAGGACTCCACCAGTCACCAGAACAATGTTTCCACACATACCACAAGGTGTTTATGTAATTGACCAAACTGTTCTGATTTTCATGCACATGTTTGTCTGTGAGATTGGATCAGCTTTGTACCCACATCTCAAAGGCCTGTGCTTGAAGGGAAGTACACAGGTGACGTGGCACAGAGATTCATTTAAAGGTATCCATTGAATATCTGTTCAATACAAACATCACTTCAAGTTTCATTCTTTCAAAACTATTTATTGAATATGGATTCTAGGGTTTGGGAAAACCTCTACAATGAACAAAAATAAATAATCTCTGCCCCCAAGTAGCTTCCATGTCTCATGAGACAGATGAAAAATAAATCAATCAGTAAAATATAGAATATATGAGATATAGAGAAAAAATAGGGAAAGATATAGGAAGTCTTGGAGAGTTGAGATTTTGGAGAGGGTGCTTGAGGAGAAATAAGTTGTTATTTGAGTAAAGATCCTAATGATACAAGGGAATGTGTTATGTAAATAACTGGGCAAATTGTGGTCCACACATCTAGAGTAGCAAGGGTAAAGGTCCCCAAACAGAAGCATATCTGCCTGTCCCTTTAAAGTATATCGCAGAGAGTAGACTGAGCAGAAAAATCGTTAGAAATAAAGCTAGAAGGATGATGGCGGGGTGGGGAAGGGGACAGTGAAATGCAGGCTCTGCAAGACACAATAAGGACTTTGACTTTCACTCTGAGTAAAATGAGAGCCATTTGTGGATTTTTGGACAGAGGAATGACATGGTCTAACTTACATTTCAAAGGAAGTCCTTGGTCTGTGTGTTGAGAATAGATGAGGGTGGGGTAGGGAGAAGCCAGGCAGAAACAGGGGGGTTCATAAAGGAGTTACTGCTATAATCTGGATAAGTGATGTGGAAGCTTAGACAGGTTGGTAATGGCAGAGATGAGGACATGTGTTTGCATCTTATGGTTGAGATGGATTGAATGGTGAATAATGGGACAGGAAGGAGCCAAGGATGGCTCCAAGGCTTTTGATGAGCAACTGGCTTTCTATCAGTACCAGTACTACTACTGCCTTCTATCTGAGATGGAGAAGACCGTGGCAGGGACAAGTTTTGAAGGAACATTAGATTACTTTTAGACAGGTTAAGTTGGAGATGTGGATTAGTGAGTTTATATACAAATCTGAGATTCAATGAGGATATCTGAACTGAAGACAAAAAGTCACCAATATATACATGATATTTACATCAATGAAATTAAATAAGATTTTCAAAGGAGTTAGTATACACCAAAAAAAAAAAAAAAAGGAAGAAGAAGAAGAAAGAAAGAAGGAAAGAAAGAAACAAAGAAACAAAGTAAGTGAGAGATTGAGGGGCTGACCTGGATACTGCAAGATTTTGGGTTAGGAAGGTGAGAAGAACCCAGTCAACAGTGTACCAAAGGGAAAGGGGCATGGTGGGGGCAGTTCTATACCAGTAGAGAGATCTTCACTGAAATTGTTTAGAATCCTCAGCACATGGTAATAATGAAGAGTATTTTTCATTTACATTTTCTATAGACAGTGTGTCTCTTTACCATCTGTACCTGGAGCAGACTACTCTTTCTACTCCCACCACCCACTACTTCTCTCTGGTTCCATGGGAACCAAGACAAAAGATGGAGAAGCAGCAGCTGGAGTGGTGGCCCACACTAGGTGAGTGCCATGCTGTCTGAGATCCAAGTGCAGAAGATTTCTGAGGAGAAGAGGGAGGCCAGATGGCACAGATGCTACTGAGAGGTGGAGGGAGATGAGGTCAGAGATCTGAATACACAGAAAGCAGTATGGCTGGGTGGGTTCTGAAGAGAATGGAATAAGAGGAATTGGAGCTGATGAATACAGATGTTCTTTCCAAGGAGCTCATTTGTAGAAGGACCCAGAGAAAATGGACACAAAGTGGAGGGGGAAAGAGGGAGGCATTTCCCCCCCCCTTAGGGTGGGAGGCAATGATCAAAAAATACTTTTAGAGAGCTTATAAACTAACTGATACACATAAAGTATTTTCTTTTTTCTACCTCTGTGAAGTAGTCTTGGTAAAGGTAATCATCTTACCTTTTTTCAGGGAAGGAAAATAAGGCTCAGGGGGTTGAAGTCATCTGTCCCAAACCTCACAGCAATCTAATGAGAAATGGGACTCAAATCTGGGCTCTGAAAGTCAAATTCATTGTTCTCTTCTCTGCCACAGCCTCATATTACACAGATAATTTCGGAGCCTTAGAATGCTCTATAAAGCTTTATGAAGCTTTGACTTTGTCATTGTTTAAGTCCCTTTCATACATCCCAGGGAATCTGGACTTCACAGCAGTGCTTCCTGAACTGTAGGTGTGATTTAACCAGATGTGGGATGTCTGGGGCCTTGGGAGGGAACTCAGCATCTGCATCAGAGCAAACTTGTCATATTTGGAAAGAATCTTCCAAGGATGGTCAACACAGGACTTCGTGTTGAACCATTTCCATGCTGGATCACAAGAATGCAATTTCTTGTCTTTTTCTTTTTCTTTTTTTTTTTTTTTTAAGAATTCAATATATAATACATCCTTCATGGCGTCTGCTGCTTTCTTTCCACTTGAAGTCCATACATGATTAAAGCTCTTCCTGTTTACATGGAGCTCCAACCACAAATTTCTGGGTCTTCAACCCTATGTGGGTTCCAACTGGGATATTACTACTCTGTAATCAGGGATACATTGAAACCTATATTATTTGACCCAGCCCAGAAAAGCACATGTCTGTTTGGTGTTTTGCTTCGTATAAGAACTCTTAGATCCATATAGCTTCAGACAGCTCAGCATGACTCTGCACTGCCCCTAGAATTCTTCTTTGCACTTTGAGCAGATGCCTATCTAGATCTTTATCCAGCCATCTTATAATTATCTTTTGGCAGATCTGATTCTTTTATAGACAATTTACTCCTTAAGGGCAGAAATTTTATTTGCAGGTTTTCTTCTACTCTCCATTTCTCTGACTTCCCCAGCACCATGGTTGGCACAGAAATGGTTCCCCAAAATATGTTTGAATTGATAAATTAAAATGAAGTATTTTGTACCATGTAGAGTTGCACTGTGAAAACTAATTTATATCACACAGGAAAAAAAAGTAGATTCCCCAAGTTCAAGATATTCTTATATGCAGTTAGTAAGTTAGGCAAGTCAAACTTACAACTTTAGAAGCCAACTGGTGTGGTTCATTGTGCCTTTTAGTCAGACATACCTAAGCCTGTATAACCAATAAGCCTATACTGAAAATGTTATACCATCATTACACACACCTGTAACTTTTAGTAGTGTTACTATAATCATTAAGAGCTGTTGACATTATGAACATTTGTTTGTTTATGCATTTAGTAAAATGAAGAATTCTTGTGGATCAGTAAGACCAAACAATGAAACTAATAAAAGTCCAAACACACACATCCTCCCAACCTTTCAAACTCATAATTTTAACAAAGCATTGCAAGATAAAGCAAATACTGGACTCATTTAAACCATTAATTGCAAAACACATATTTTTTAAAATTACAAAATTCTCTCCTGACATGCAGGAAAATTGACTATATATTTTTTTAATTTTTTATTGAAATATAATTGACATGTAGCATTATATTAGTTTCAGGTCACAGTGTAATGAACCGGTACTTGCATATATTGTGAAATGATCACCGTAATGCATCTAGTTAATGTCTATTACGTTACATCAATGATGTAATGTACATCATTACAAGAGTCTTTCTTTCCTTGTGATGAGAACTTTTAAGATCTACCCTCTCAGCACCTTTCAGATATGCAACACAATATTATTAATTGTAATCACCATGCTGTATATTACATCCCAAGACTTATTTATCTTATAACTGGAAATCTTTACCTTTTAATCCCTTCCACCATTTTGTGCATCTGACAATCTCTACCTCTGGCAGCTACCGATCTCTATCTATGAGCTTTGTTTTTTGTTTTCACTTTAGATTGATTGGTTGGTTGATTTCTTTCTCTCTTTCTCTTTTTTAGATTTCACATATAAATTGTCTTCAGATTCTACAGATACTTAAATTTTACAACATTTCTGGAAGGGGTAATGTGGCCATATCTATCAAACACCTGAAATCTACAAACTCTTTGACCCAGCATTTCCATTTCTGCAATTTATACAAAGGAAAAATGTAAGGATCTTGAAAAGTTTTACCTGCAAGGATCTTCAGTGCATAGTCATTAAAAAAGCAAGGTAAAGAAGCGGCAACACGAATAAGAAACAATAGGGGTTGAGTTAAATAAATAGTGATGATGGCATAACAAAGCCTTTATGGCCCCCAATATGCTACTGTAGGAAATTATTTATTAGCTGAATAGTTTAGTGCACTGACAGAAGTCAGAGCCTTGAGGTTTGAGAGAATTTTGATCAACTTAGAGCTCTTATCACTGACTGTGTGATCCTGAGCAAATTCCTCAACTTTTCTGAGATTCAGTGTCCTAATCTGTAAAATGAGGGTAACTCCAATACTTGGACCAGAGGGCTGTGATGAGTTTGAAATCAGCCAATGCAGTTAAAGCCAAGTATTTGGCACCCAGTGTAATATTCAACATAGCAAGTATATGTACAATATATGCCTCAATATCTGAAGTGTAAAAGGCAGCTTTTGAAACAATATTTACAGCATAACTTCATTTTGGAAGTAAAAAATGATATTATCTACAGATATAAATGAAAATCTTAAAAAACGCACATGAAAATTTACTTTCATTTTCTCTGCATGGTAGATTTAGGGGAAGATTCCTTTTCCTTTTGCTTTTATGTATGACCTACAATGTAATAAGAAATGTTAAATGGCTCCAAATGGTCATCAGTATCAATTCCTATAAATGAAAATCTCTCAATACAGGACTTATTTGCCTGTGTTACCACTGTTCGCCTCACTGTCAAGTCACCAAAATCTCTTCAAATCATTGTCATGGAAGCCATACGGGCTGTGGTTGGTAGTGCTAGGCAGATTACCCATGGGTTCCCCTCGCTATTCTACCCTTGTCCTCTGCCGTACCCCATGTGGTGTATCTAGTAAACATTTAGTAAGCATCCTTCTGTTGGGAGCACTGGGCGTTGATACTGAGGGGAGGGGGGAGGATACAAAGCAGCACAAAGGATGGTTTCTGACCTAGAGGAATCTCTAGTCCCTCCAAAGGGAAGCGCACTTACCTTATGTGCAGGTAATGCTTCATCTTGTTGAGAAAATCCATCTGTCTCAAATGAGTTTGGATAGCGAGAGAAAGCTGTCTTAAGGTGGTAGGGTGGGGCTACAAGAGGGGCATTAAAAACAAGTGTATTTCCATAGCCTATAGGTAGAATGATCTCTGACTAGGATGGAGCCCTTCTAAGCTCCTTGTGTCACCACTACCTTTGATAAGATTTCTTGTGTGATTGCCTCTTTTTCCACCTGTTTTCTGAGGTCTTAGATGTTTATTCTTATATTTCAATCAATTCCTTTTGTGCCCACACCCCCATGACTCTGACATACTCATGTGATACACATCCTTGAAACATTAGTTTTCACACTTTGGGGGTCCTCAAGCATAAGCATAATGTATGTCTAATGCAAAAATAAAATTTAGAAAAGTTAGAAAAATGTAAAGAAGGTGAAAATCATCCATAAGCCAGTCATGCAGAGATAATCATTCATAACATTTTGGTGCATGTGTTTCTAATACATGTGTGGGTGATATTTAATATAATATTTTTAATCTGCATTTCTATTTCATAATAATATATCTTTTCATGTCAATTAATATTTGACTACAGGCTTATGCTGTGACATCTTTTACAACCTCCCCTCCTAGAGAGAAGCTCACTTTAACACTTCTGTATGTTAGTTTCTAGGACTTTTCTGTGCTTATTTATGTATACTTTAGGTTTTAAAAATAAAACCTAGGTTATGTGTAACACTGGACCTGCTTTTTTACTTAACATTATTGTGTGAATTTTTATACATCATGTAACTGTCTTAAAAATATGATTTCTAATGGTTCCATTATATTCCACTAGGGGTGTGTACACATAGTTGATACAATAAATATCTTTAATTTTAAACCTATCTAATTTAGGATGGATGCTTAAATCATTACCCCTTCCATGAGGCTCTCAACTTCATACAAGAAGATCTAGTTTTGTTTCATCTTTGAATTGTAGTTATATAGCCAGTTGAAAAAGATGAAATCCTTTATTTTAAGATTAAATCCTCTCAATGGACGCTTCCATTATGTGAATGGATCCAAGAAGTTATGGCTAGGTCACTTCAGAGGGTGGAAAGGAGGCCATGACCCACAACATTGTGGTTGGTTGTGGTAGGAGAACAACTTGACCTTGAATGGGGCAGGTGGGCAGGATGAATGCCTAGGAAGGGCATCCTCTCCAAAGTGCCACCCTCACTAATTGGAGGGAACAGCTAATGAAACCAGACAAGAAGTTCCCAATATTTGGTGTTTCTTGCTTGTTGAATTAAAAACCAAAACCAAGGGGCGCCTGGGTGGCTCAGTGGGTTAAAGCCTCTGCCTTCGGCTCAGGTCATGATCTCAGGGTCCTGGGATTGAGCCCCGCATCGGGCTCTCTGCTCAGCAGGGAGCCTGCTTCTTCCTCTCTCTCTGCCTACTTGTGATCTCTGTCTGTCAAGTGAA